TAAAACAACTTCCTTTAGCTAGTTACTTTACAACAATCACAGAAAAAAAAAAAAAACAGAAATAGCTGTTAAGAAACTCACTTACTCACAGTAATAATAATCAAGCAAACCTTATATATGTATAAATTATGATCTGCTAAACTAGAAATAATTAACCATATACTATACATTATATTAATAAATTAGATTCCCACACCAACAATAATAATAACATCGATCCTAACTTCTTGTAGTTGCAAGATACATATGTGGTCTGTCTCAAACTACGAAACAAACAATTTAGTTGTATATTTTATTTGAGTTATTGGACTATACTTATAATAATAAGCTCGTCAATTTGATCCACAAGTACATATATAAAAACTATTTGTTTAATTAGTGAGATTAACTTCTAAGATTTCCAATTTACAAATAAATTATATACAACACGCAGAGATGTGTATATGCCTGATACATGGTGGTGGTGGCCATGACTTTGAGCAATGTTGAATGACATCATATCCATCATCATCATCATTTCACATTATGTTACATATTACACCAACTTTACATATAAGCATATATGTCTTTTGAAACAACTAGCATTTTTTTTTGTAATTCGTACGTATGTATATATTATATAGGATTCAGTATACGTGTATATCAACGATACATATTCATCACGTATTGTAAAACTCATCGATTATGAAAAAACTTAATATTCTGGTATTGTGAAAATCATATCACTATCTTGTAACTCGTATCATGCAATACTCTCGTTCTCTCGAATATGTTATCGGTGGACAGCTTTATTACTTGTGTATAGTAGATTAGTAGTAGCATAGTTTCCACAATAATTTTTAATAAACCATAAACATAACAAAAAAGAAATACAAAAAGAAAAAGAAAAAATGCGTAAACTACGAAAGAGCATTGACGATTTCTGTTGTAATTAAAATAAACAATACAGAAGAAGCTAGGCAAAGGAGCGTTGGGTAATGACATAATCTAAGGGCCGCACATCTCAACGGCTTGTGGTAGGTCCACGTGGCCCCTTAAGATCCGTTGAAAGGGATAGTGATGACGCCATAGTTGACGTCAATGAGCTCTCATCCACCAATGATGTAGCTCCTTCGCTTTGCAGTCTCGTCTTCGGGATCAAAAGTCAACCTTCTTAAGTTACACCTACACACATATTATAATTCCTCCAAAGGGTCCACACGTCGAAAAAAAAATTTAAAAAACAAAAAAAACAAAAACTACCAAGTAAGGAAACAGTATTTATTTTTATTTTAATCCCTGATTTCATTCCATATCTTTCGGTCCACATCATTATATTTTAAACAAAACTATCTTAATCTGATTATTATTATTCTTATCCATTTTCCTTAATATATGCTCCACATATGATCACCAAAACGCGTTTAATCGAGATAATTACGGACAAAGAAAATTCAGATAAATCCAATTTTAGGGAAAGAAAAATTAAAATATTCGGATTCTTCTAATAGACAAAAAACATACACTGCCAACATTTCATTTGGAGTTTTGGACCTTACTAACATTTTACGACAAAATCAGTTATATAAACCAATTTTCAACGGCAGGTAAATAGTGATTAGAAGGTTATGTTTTTTTTTTAACGAATCAGTTTTTGATATATGACCACTGTATTATAATGTACACAGTAATCTACATTCAAGTATTCAACCAATAAATATTCTACATTCAACAAAAAAATGTCAATACAAATATTGGCACACCGACGGTCAATAATACGACAAGATCAAACAAAATAAAAACCCCAAATCCTCAAATCTATTTCTACAATAATCCAAGCAAGACGAACAATCCTATTATCTCCATCTCTTTCAATTGCAGCTAGAAAGTGACCTTTTATTTCCTAATTCGGAAAAGCTTCATTTAGCCCTATGATGGGTCTACAAGTTTGCTTCCATGATTTCTTTTAAGATTAAAAACAGATATATAAACGAAAAATCTATGTTTGCTTCCAATTACTGGCTCTGCGATTGTCTCTATATCAAACTATGTTCTTGGGTTCTGCTTTAAAACAAACTTTTTGATTTGGAGATTTCATTTGGGAAAAATCATGATTTCTTCTCGAGTATCCTCAAAACGACGTCGGTTTGGGTATACTAACAGAGTCGTTAACGAGTAATAACGGATGTTATAGGTTCTTTTAGCGACTGATGACAGCATGTCTATTTTGGCCTGGTCAACAAATTTTCATGTCTCAAACGTTAATCAACGTTTAGTTCATGTTTTAAATGGCCACATATGAAGTTGATGTTTAAAATGGCCACAATTTGAAAGTTGACTAACAGAGTCGTTAGGGGTGATAACAGCCGTTAGAGGTTCCGTTAGCGACTGATAACGGCATGTCTATTTTGGCCTGGTCAACGAATTTTCATGTCTCAAACGTTAGTCAACGTTTAGTTCATGTTTTAAATGGCCACATATGAAGTTGATGTCTCAAATGACCACTTTTTGAAAGTTGGGAGATTAAATGACATTTTTCCCGATTACTAATTAATAAACTAAGATAAGATGCAATAAATAAACTAATGGGTAATTTTAAAAACAAATGCTGGAACCAAGTCGGTGATTTGTTACGACGTACTACTACTGACTAAAACGACTTTCCAATTTAATCTGAGTCGGCAATGTGTAGATTATTACTGTACAAATATTATATTTAAAAATGTTTGTCGCATGTTAATATTTCCAGAAGATTACAGGCTGGAAAATCAATGTATTTTTAACTTTTAAAATGCGTACAAAAAAACTTATACAATTTCAAATTAGTACTATTATTCTTGTATAATCATTATGTATTTTTCTTTTTAACCGTAATTAAATTCTGATTTCCTTTTAAAAGTTACTTACATAACTTTACATGAAGCTCAAGTAAACGTACGATCATAAATATTTAAACTAGTGACTAGACTAGACCGTGCAATATATAATAGCGAGTAAAGACAATTATACAGTTAATTTGGTTGGAGATTAGGTGTCATAATTTTTTTTAAAAAAATTAGAAATTTCTGGTCTGATGATTGTTCACATAAGAAGAAAATGACATGCGAAAGATTTCTTAATTATTAGAAAACAAAAATTGATTTCTTATTTTTTGAATTTACAGATAATTTGTGAGACAAATTACATGTGTCTACTTTTTTGCTTTGTCTACTAAGAAATAACTATATTTTTACTTAGTCTACTAAGCAAATAACTAGTACTTTTTAACTTTGTCTACTAAGCAATAACGGATTGTGATGACGAATCTACAATTACTGAGTCAGAGTTTCAACACGCCAAACTCATCCATACAAACGTATTAGTGACATTGACAAAATCCAGTGTATCCACATTTAATTACTTTCAATGTCAGCTCATAAATTAATTAGAGTAACTAATTATTTTTTCGTATTGATTGTTTAGTTGTATTGGTAGGGAATAGTTCTCGGTAATTTACACAAAAAAAGTCAGACGAAGTATTAAATACTTAGAATACATGGCCGCACTTTTCTATTTTGATGATATATGTATGTGACCTAATTTTTGTTTGCCTTTTGACGTCGATATATATGACGACCTAATTATAATTTCTACAAGAGTAGAGTAGTCCATTATATTGGTATTGAAACTAAAATATTATATTCTACCAAGTTTCCAAATATATGCAAAATCTCAACTTCGTGGTTGGACATTCCTTTATGTTTTTTAGTCAAGAGTACTTGGTGTGGTGACTCAATATATTCTTCGAAGCCTTAGTTCCAACTTTTAATCTATAGTTCACGGATTTCGAGCAATCATACGAATAATTATATCACGTGTTAGTGTTACTATTATGCGACTAGCAAAAAGTTACAAGTTTTGTGTGATGTTTGGGTTTTGATAGAACAATAATTAAACACAAAGAAAAAGAAAGGATCCAGATTAACTTACATTGCCACCAATTGATTAATTAATTAGATTATTTCATTTTGGTCTTTCTTCGGCTTCACTGAAAAGGCTAAAACAAACACCACATAAAAAGACCACATCCTTTTTAAGTAGAGGAAGCGGTGCTAAACGATTAAATAATACTCAGCTAATTATAAATTCTCTAATTAACACATACACGAAAACATTATACTTTATAACAGTAGTAGTATTTCTCGACTTTATGGAAACGATAGCATAATACGGATCACATTATTCACAACTTTTAAGATTAATATGAAACTCACTATTAATAACTAAATACAGAAAAGAGGAGATTTCTTAGGGCTTTCTTTCTATAGGATAATAATCAAATTAAAAATAAGAACAATCTTTAATCACGGGTCCACACATCAAAAGCTATACACTTATAACCCTTTTTAGAATTTATTTTCAACACGTTTTTTGTTTGATATGGTATTTATTTTCCAAGCGTTCTTTCCGAATTCCGATCCCCACAGTATATAAAACCAGCTAAGCAATACTAGTATGAAAACAATCAACATATAATTAAGAATACATATACAAACAACATTATGTATATAAAAAATATTTGAGTACCAAGTATTTTTTTATTAAGGAATAAATTTAAATCTCAACGTTTTGTTAAATGTATTATCAACGACTGAGTTATAGCTAAAAATACTATTAATCGAAATTTAAAACTTTTAAAATTATATGTATATATATAATTTATTTTTAATGATAATCGAATTGTTGTCTATGTGAAACTTGTTCAACAATTCAGGAAGTTGCTTGGAGCCTACGTATCTTTCTAAATCACCAAAAAGAAGGAAAAAAGAAAACAATAAATAATTTTATCTTTTAGTTAATTACAAACAAAGCTCCTCCATCTCCTCTATTTAAAAGCCATTTTTTCCACCCTTTCAATACTTTTATTTCTCTGCTTTAACTGCCCAAAAGATTCTCTCCCAGCTAGCTTTCTCATATCATTTTCTTTCTTCATCTTCTTCTTGTGTCTCTTTCCCTCTCTCTAAATAAGCATATCACTCTTACAAAACATTTCTGGGTTCTGTTATTGTTCTTGTTCTTGAATCTTTAATACTTTTAAAACATAGAATTATTGTTATATTTATATAGCGGATGATGGCGGTTGTGGTCGAAGAAGGCGTGGTGTTGAATCATGGAGGTGAAGAGCTTGTGGATTTGCCACCTGGTTTCAGGTTTCATCCAACAGACGAAGAGATCATAACATATTACCTTAAGGAGAAGGTTTTAAACAGCCGATTCACGGCTGTGGCCATGGGAGAAGCTGATCTCAACAAGTGTGAGCCTTGGGATTTGCCAAGTAAGTATTAGTCAATTTTCATAAACCAAAAACAAATTTCAATTTTTCTTTTGACCATTCAAGTGTAAACACATAAAGCTAGCTTCTTGATTAAGATTTATCAAATTCTTGATGGCTAGCTTGTTTTTGATCAGTTTTTCAAATTTCAAAGCCAAAAAAATTTCAATCTTCTTTGACCATTTCAACACACAAAAGGCTTCTTGATCAATCAAGATTCTGATTCTTGATTTTTTTTTGGTTGGTATAGAGAGGGCAAAGATGGGGGAGAAAGAGTTCTACTTCTTCTGTCAAAGGGACAGGAAGTATCCGACCGGGATGAGGACGAACCGTGCGACGGAGTCCGGATATTGGAAAGCGACCGGGAAGGATAAGGAGATCTTCAAAGGCAAAGGTTGTCTCGTTGGGATGAAGAAAACACTTGTGTTTTATAGAGGAAGAGCTCCAAAAGGTGAAAAGACTAATTGGGTCATGCATGAATATCGTCTTGAAGGCAAATATTCGTATCACAATCTCCCCAAATCTGCAAGGGTAAGTTTATGTTACAAAACCATATATTCTCAATGTTTTTTCAATTCGACTCTAAAAGGAGAAAGATCTTAGATTTCTTTTGATTGTTATTCTTAGTTTTCTTAAACCAAAAGTGTGTTAAATTTGGTGGAAAACATAAGTCCTTTTCAAAAGAGTTTGATTCGTTTTCATATATCCAATTCAAGATTGAATCCCAAACTCATAAATAAAATAAAATCTAATCTATATTTTTGTTTGTTTTATGATCTTGATTACAGGACGAATGGGTCGTGTGTAGGGTTTTTCACAAGAACAATCCTTCTACTACAACCCAACCAATGACGAGAATACCCATTGAAGATCTCACGAGGATGGATTCTCTAGAGAACATTGATCATCTCCTAGACTTCTCATCTCTTCCTCCTCTCATAGATCCAAGTTTCATGGGTCAAACCGAACAACCAAACTTCAAACCCATCAACCCTCCAACTTACAATATCTCATCACCAATCCAACCCTATCATTTTAATACTTACCAATCAATCTTTAACCACCAGGGTTTTGGTTCTGCTTCGGGTTCTACATACAACAACAACGAGATGATCAAGATGGAGCAATCACTTGTTAGTGTATCTCAAGAAACATGCCTAAGCTCCGATGTAAACGCGAACACGACTACAACCACGGAGGTATCCTCGGGTCCGGTAATGAAACAAGAGATGGGGATGATGGGAATGGTGAATGGTAGCAAGTCGTATGAAGATCTATGTGACTTGAGAGGGGTCTTATGGGACTTCTAATTAATTATTTGACTGTGGTTAAAGAGTATATTTGTTGGGATTTAAATCATGTAGTTAAAATACATATACATATAGGATTTACTAGAGTGTTAATCCTAGTTATTTCACTTCATTGATATTATTTAATTAGTTGATTGTTTAATTAGTTTATACTATATAGTGTGGTTAAAAAAGAAAAAGGATTGTGATAATTTGGGATTTTAGTGCATAAGTTATATCTCAATGTAAACTGTATTTGTATACATATAATTAGTCTTCATAAGGTTTCTCAAAGAGTTTTAATTATTAAGATTTACGATTTATATTCTAACGTTGTTAGTTCAATTCGATATATACTTATACAAGCTGGATAACATTAGTGATTTTACAAAACAATAAGTCGACATATATATACGAATATACCAATATACAATCCACACTCAAGTAGAAACGTTCTCATTTAAAAACAGAAGAAAATGATAATGATTACGTGAATGTCATGTATTTTTTTTACGGCTGATAAAATACAACATAAATTGCATTTGAATACGGATAATAACATAAGTACGCCACTAATATTTAATTAGATGTTAATAAAATGGTTCTCACGAAGCTTTACTACAGTATTTGTATCATTGATAGTCACTCAACAAGCAACATAATGTTTTGAAAAATTAATATATATATATATATATATATATATATATATATATATATATTTTTTTTTTTGGCACACGAAAAATTAATATATTAATTTAGTTTTCTCTTATTTTTGTTTGAGAACCAAAATTGAAAAATGCAAATAGATGGAATCTTAATAAGTAAAACTCAGAGAGAGGAAAAAATACCACAGCTCATGAAGCATGTGAATGTTCCCCGAATCTGGGCAGCATATTAGCATTTTCATATGCCCAATAATTTAGATTATTACTATGAATTCATGACACACTATACTATAAACAAAAAAAAAACATTTCAACTAAGAACAGTGATTAATGATGGGTTTCTTGTAAGAATACAATACCAGATCCCTAAATCTTATGTCTTAAGGAACTTGGTTATTACATCAATCACATTACGTTTTCCTACTTAATTTTTTAATAATTGAAAGTTTTTAGTACGTTACATAGAATTAATTAATATTTCCAGCACTTGTTATTTTTAACATCTGTTAATATTCACATAATCGTTTAATCTTGATATTTAGATATAATATTGTATTTAAGGATTTTTTTCGTCGGGCCCGAAGCACAAAGCTTGTCTTTACATAGAATAAGATATGGCTGCAGATCTGTGTTTAAGATTTGGCAGCAGATCTGTTTTTTGGTTGAATGTACTATAATATTCTTTGTTTCGAATTCTTGATATTTTTAATATATAAAACGACAAAGACATACATTTTTAAAGAAAATGCACCGATTTGAATAACACCAAAGGTATAACATCTTACATCTTAGTAAGTTTTATTATTAAAAGGCATGAACATTGTAGATATACAAATTAACATAATGCCATGCAAAAACATAGTTTTCAAATTTTCTTGATTTATATATTCTTCTTATATATATTAGTTATTTTGTATTCCCAAATTACCATATAATGGTCTTAAAAAGAATTTCAAACGGTTCATACACAGATAAGGAGATAATCATCTAACGGATTATAAATAAATTAAAACCCAATTAACCGTACGTAAATAAATGATGACTCTGGTTCAATGTACTAAATGATGATGATTTGCAAAAAAGCGTGTGAGTCTCTTCCACCTCAAATTCAGGACAAAAATCTGATTATTATTATTTTCAATTCTGGACTTGAAATTATCCATAAACTTTGGTGTATAAACATATCATTGCTTAAAATAGTTACAACTAGACTATACTAAAGTTATTTCCGCCACAATAGATTAGAGAATAATAATTCCTTTCTTCATATATAGATCCTTTATTTTTCCACTATTAAGTTTTATTTTCTATATAGATTTTTGGTTCATTTCCTATGTTATTATTTATGAATGATTTTATCAAGTGAGGAATCGATATAAAGATGAATAAAATATTTATAGTTTGGAAAAAAATGCATGAATGTGATAAGGATTATTAAATTACGCATAGAAAGAGGACTTTCCATTTAAAGCGAAGCTTTTAGATCGATACTTGCAGCAAAGCTAACCGTTCTCTTCCCCTTTTTTTCTGTTTCTAGATGATTACTATCGCTTCGTTTCTTTTGTCTCTTTCTTCTTCCTTTTACTTTTAACAATTTATTTTACTATATATACAAATGTACATACATTTATTAGTTCTTTATTGTTACCACCTAGAATCAAAACGATGGACACCTGTGAATACAAACATCTTACCATTTGGAAATGTTTTTGCTTAACAAGTTATTTAGATGGAACCGATTTTCTATGTACATCTGTTGCTTATTTTTACAGCTGATTTAGTATATCCCTAGTTAATATACATTTTCATTTTTAAAAACATGTAGAAACGAAAACATGACAAACGATAAGGATTATATTTTTGTTGCTTTAGTTTTCACCTTTTTAGTGGATCAGGTTTAGACAATAAACAGCTATGCTAGTGCCATGGACCATATGTTTGACCAAAGAAGGCCTACACTATATGTTGGGCCTTTGTGAAGTCCATTAGCTTAGAAAGGTAGTAAAAGTTAGAAAAGTAAGAGATTAATGATTCATCAAAGGCGTCAATTGCTGTGAGGAGTAGCAAATTACTGCGTAAAGATTCTAAAGACTCTCGGAGTCAGCAATAGTGCATTACTATTAACCAATTATTTATTCGTTAGTTGAGGTTAAAAGTTGATTTTGATAGATCAATCAATATTTGAGTAGGCACTAGCGAAAACACCTTTATTCGATGATACCAAATTACTGTCCCAATAATTGTTTTTCGTATAACGACTAGTTTTGACTATGGCCAAGTTTAACCGCATAAGCTATTATGCATTCATAGGAAATTTTATTAATTTATGATGGGTATTCTAAGAAAACAGTAGTTGACATTAAAAATGGATTTATTTAAATAAAACACACTTATAGTTTAAAACTAAAATATACTATTTGTTTCTCTAACATCCCTTTTTAAAAAGTTATATATATCATAATGAAAACAAATAATGTAAGACTCTAATAATAGCCATATCACATCATAACCATTAGTGATTATTCCAATGTTAGAATAAAAACAACAGCAAAAATCAGTGAGTGGATTGATCATAAATATATATATATATATATATATCATATATATATATATAAATATTAATAAATGTAAAATTTATTCATAAAAAAACGTTGTTACATCAAGTCCATCGTTTTAAAAACTTTTACTATTTTAAATCTTACAACTTAAACTCGAATAGAAAACCAAAATATGAATTTTTTTTTGTATTTATTGTTTTCGGAGTTGTGAAGCTAAGTGATCCGATTACAAATATTCTTGTTAATGATTTGCTTGAAGTTTTGTGCTGGTAAAGGATCTTCTCTGTGCCTGCGATTGTTTCGTTCCGCCAAATTGTGTGGACTGACTGTAATTTGAAGGCTGATACAAGACTCGGTGGTGAGACTAGTATCGGGATAGATATGGTGGCTTCACAAGCTGGCAGTCGCTTCTCTCTTGTGAAGGATTGATGGTCGATGATGTAGATCTAACACGATGGCGGTCGCTTCTCTCGTGTGGGATCGAAATAGATGAAAGTGATGGCGGATTGAAGTACACCACAGAGATGTGATTGGTCTCTGATACAGTACACGAACTCAGCCTTGGTGAATCACACACACAAGACAAAGAACAAGCTTATTCTCTTAAGAACACTTAAAGAGAAGAAGTAAGAAAATTCGGGTTCTTTATTGATAATCAAGGGTGAAAAATCGTACAACTGCTGCAGGGGGACTTTATAAGAGTCCTTCAGCTAGCCCTAGGGCCGAAAATAAATGCAAAAAACACAAAAAAGGAAGCAAATAAAAGCAAAACACAAAAACCATTGTTTTTAGAAAGAAAATAACTAAATAAGGAAACTACTTAAACTCTCTTGAGGAGCACGTTGTGGTGACGAATCTAGCCGTTGTGTGGGCTTCTTGGACCTGCAAAGATAGTATAAATTGAATAAAACTTACCGGGATGCGTTTTAGGCCCAATAGATGTTCTCTGAGTCACTTCCTGTAGTACTCTCTGACCTACTTCAGGAGTCATGTCTTGTGCTCGTTTACTTGTTGGTTTCTTGAAGTAGGGGCCTTCCTGGTGTTCCTCTTGAGTATCTTGATCAGTGTCTTGGAGCTCTTCCACGTCCTTGGTGTCTTGGTCTTGATCTTGACTCTCTTGATCACTCTCGGAAGTGAAGCTTGTCTCGTACGTCTCCTGCAGCTCCAAAGTCTTCTCTTGCCTTCTAGGGGCTTCTGGACCTGTCATAGAAGATTTCATACCTTGGGGAGTAGTTCGTTCAAGACTCATTTGGGTGAATGCTTCGGCAAGCTCTTCTTCGGCTATTGGATCATATCCTGTTTGGGGTGCTACGGACCAGTTTACTTCCTCCAGCTCTAAGGAGCTTAGAATGTCTTGCACAGCTAAGTTGAACCTTTTTTTGAGTTGTTTAGACTTTGAACGTGTCATGGGACCTGCTGGGACTTCTGGTACAGGATGTGGTACAGGATGTAGTTCAGCATGTAGTTCAGCAGTTTGGTTAAAGTCGATGTCCGCATCATTCCCTCCCTCTTCAAAAGGTTTTGTCCTCAAAACTGAATCTCCTGGATCATAAGCAGATAAGTCAGCGACATTAAACGTATGGGAAATTTTTACCTCACTCGGTAGCTCTAAACGATAGGCATTGTCGTTGATCTTCTCAAGGATCTTGAATGGACCATCGCCTCTTGGTGCTAGCTTTGATGCTCTTTGCGTTGGAAACCTCTCAGGTCGCATATGTAGCCAGACCCAATCCCCTGGTTCAAATAACATTTCCTTCCTTCCCCGATCAGCTTTGCGTTTGTTGTCGGCGTTTTTCTTTTCCAAGTTGTCTTTGGCCTTGTCATGTAACTTCTTGATGATTTCTCCACGTCTTAAACCATCTTGGCAAACCTGTTC